ATGCCAAATAATAATAGAAAAAATGACGCGTAACATACATATACAGCAACAAATACAGCACACTCTCTATAGATAAAATGTAAATGACTTAAAAGTAATCTGATTGATAACGCGACTATAAATAGTTGATTGATTTTAAAATTAACAAAAATATTGCAATGAGAGTATTTTACAGTACTATCTGGATCCATAGATAGAACCTGGATTGTACTAATGTGGGCTCTGTCTATCCAATTAAATATGGTATGGGTTGGATTTGGATATAACGATAAATAATTTAAATAATTTGTAAATATTTCTTTCGGTGATAGATCCATGGGAAACACCACTTATACATTACATTAGTAGGGGTAAGTATAAAACTATACTAAAAATAATACATAGTTTTCAAAATTTCAGCACGAGCTGCATTAGAGGCAAGTGCCGAGAGTGGTACTTACCGGGTATGTGCCCGACCCTATATTTACCGTGTAAGTGCCCGTCCCTACATTTAATAAATAACATTATTCTTAAAAAAATCGTACAATATTTTTAATATTCTCCGAACAAAAGCATGCTTTATTACTTATCAAAGAAAATAATAGTAATTCAGTAGAAACATAAAGGGAAACTTTATTCACTTTGTGAAAAAGTTCATGAATGGTTGAAACCCAAAATTAATAAAGTCATTATTCAACTTGTCTGCAAAAGATAATTAGTTACGTACGTACATAAGTAGCATGTACGAATACGTACAATGAGAAGGTTGAGCCAATAATTTTGATGAAAAATAATAGAGATATCGTATAATATGGAAGGTAATGTCATAATTAAAATTATGTAAAATTTTTTTTTTTATTATGTTAAGATTCTTTTGCTATATTATTGAATATACAAGCAAACTTTAAGACAAATAAGGCAAAACTCCTTATGCATATAACGATAACTGAAGTTTACACTGTGATCTATTACTCTTTATAAGAATAACACTTATTGAGCCTAACAATAACACACAATTGTAATTGGTAGTAAACATATATGCTACGTACCATAAGTTTTCCGACGGATCACAACAGGAATGCATTACAGCATTGAGCATGCATACAATCATGTGTTAGCTGACAAAGTGACTATATGCATACTTTCGGCGATTAAGCAAAGAGCCTAAAATATACTGGACTTTCTCACTCAATGAAGCACCAATAACAGAGTCTTTGATATAGCATTGATCTGCTGTTGTCTGCCAGATATGTGAAATTAAATCTTGATGTATAATTGTCTAAACGTAGGGCTTCATATCAACCGCATGTAAGCTCGTGCGATGCACACGTGTATGTTATGACGGTGAGGAAGAATAGGTTTACGTATCAAGTGTCGTGAGCATCATTTTTTTTTGAGAATCTCGGTTTACGTATCAAGTGTCGAATGAGCATCTTTTTTTTTTTTGAGAATCTCGCTTTCTCTAATTTGTTTCTCTAATTTGTTTCTTTAATTTTGTTTCTTTAATCTTGTTTCTTTAATTTTGTTTCTTTAATTTTGTTTCTCCAATTTTGTTCAATTTTTTTTCTCCAATTTTGTTTCTCCAATTTTGTTTCTCCAATTTTGTTTCTCCAATTTTGTTTCACAATTTTGTTTCACCAATTTTGACTTTTCCTCCACTTTCGACTTTCGTAATTAGTACAGCCCATCATAACAACAATAAAATAGAAATACCATCAGGACAATAGTTTCATGTAATTCTGATATTCCAGTCTATGATAGTTCTGACAATCACGTGATAATGGACGGTATGAAATGTCTTTTATATAATTAAAAATTTCAACTTAATTCAGAGAATTTGTTATAATATTAATGAGCTATTAATGATATTAATGAGTTATTAATTGACAAGAAAGACTTTATATATTCAAAAATCTTTTATTTTTATTTATTGTCCGGGACATTTGAATTACAGATATGCTTTATCCTACAGTTTTATCCTACAGTTATATGTTCCAGACCACTTTCTACCATAAATTTTACATTGATATCTTCATTAAAAATTAAAATTATAATCGTCTAGCAAGAAATGACGATTGTTGAAAAATTAAGTCTTAATAGAAAGATTATATAAAAGTATTAAAATTTACAAGTATGAAAAAGAGCCAGCCCTTATTAAATAGCCTTATTTTTGAACCTTTTTTTTATTTTTTATTTTATCTATTATTTATTTTTTTTTTAATTTTTATATTTTTTTTTGGTTTTTCAATTTTTTTTAGAAAACAATCTGAATGGTTAAAATAGAAAATTGGTTAGAAACAATTCATTTTATAATAGCATTTTATAATAGTAATAATTGACTTTGTATATACTTGTATATACCTGAAAGATTTACAAAAACTTCTGTATTCATCGATCTCTTTATAAGAAGCATTCTGCATTTCATTAATATCTGGTATAGAAATGTTCATGTATTTTGATAATTCAATTTTATTGTGACTTATTGGATGGAGAATTGTGTCTGTCAACTATTTATAAAAAAAAACATTTAGATTGAAATTAATCCCTTTCTTGCTTTCAAGTTAAATATGATGATAAATATTGCATACCAGTTCACCAATCCTTCCACCATTAACTCCTAGCAGAGTGTTTTTGGATTCATATAATACACTTTCGACTTGTTTACTTGATATTATTAATTCTTCTAGTCTTTTCTCATTTAGGTCGGATTCAAAATTTTCGCCAATAAATTCAAAGTCTAATGGTCACGTGATCGCGAATCAATAAATTTTTTCTTTTTTAAAAAAAATAAATAAAGAGAAAAGTACTTACATGCACCAACAAGATCCTGGGTAGTAGGACCGCAATTACCCAGGAAATTCTCAATTACCATAATTTCAATCCATCCACCAACTTTCAAAACTCTAAAAATGTCATTTATGTTTACTCCACACTCGCTTTCACATTCAAATAAAAATTCATCTTCTATTTCACAAGTATTTATGCCCCTTCCATTTTCACAAAGCACAAAGTCAAACGTTTCATCGGGAAATGGTATATATCCTAAGCTATGAGCATGAAGAATTGTAGCATTAGGAAGTTCGGCAAGTGTTGGTGAAGATGTGAATTGGGAAGGTTGTGACGATATTTCAAGACCGATGAATGTTGAACGAGGGTAAGTATGTGCCATGTCAAATGTTCTTATTGATGGGTTGGTTCTATGAATAGTTAATTCATATAAAAAGTTAATAATCCTATTCATGAAAATCATGAAAATGAATTTTGATATTTAAAAGTTTTTCATTACTGGATTTACTGGATTAAAATTTCTCTGCTTTATCCGTAAAATCGTAAAATAAAAAACTTAATAAATATCAAGGATTATGTGGTTTACTTACCCAATAACCAATATACAAGCACCACCTTCCTTAAGTCGGTTTTCTATTGGTGATGAAAAGCTATTCTTCCAAAGTATCGTAAATATACAATATTGCATTTCTAGTCTACTTTGTTCTTTTTCGCTATTCAAATTCAGTAACATTAATATTAAGCATTGATCCCTCTGATCCAATAATACCC